GAGAGAGAGAGAGAGAGAAGGAGGAGAGAGGGGAAAGGGGAGAGGGGAAGGCAGCGAGGGTAGACGCACTGGGTATGCACGAGGGAGCCGGTCTCCGGCGACGCAAGCAATGGATCCTGAGGCGAGTGGGTGCCGCTGGCCTGCGACTGGAGCTGACGCACTCGGCGCTGGCGGAGGTCACGCTCGAGCTTGCTTTGCTGCTGGCGATATGACTGGATGTACACATGTGCCTGTTGGAAGGGCAGAGCCAAGTTCGGCGTGACATTCAAGTCCGGCTGCTTAGACAGCTGGGCGTAGCTGACACCACCAAACGGGGCGGGCACGGGGACAATTGGCTCCAGGGCGTCGGACATCCCAGTGCCACTGCCCAAGGGCGAGGGAAACCCCTGGTGTTGCAGATGGTGCTGCTGCTGCTGTTGCTGCTGCTGCTGCTGTTGTTGCTGCTGCTGCTGCTGTTGCTGCTGCTGTTGCTGTTGCTGCTGCTGCTGATGATGATGATGATGATGATGATGATGAACATACTGGGAGGAGGGGTACTGCGGCGGCGGCGGCTGCGGCTGCGGCTGCGTCGGTGCTTGGGGTTGGCCGTGGAAGGATGAATAGTCCTGCACAGCCATGTGATCCGGACCGAGAAGACTCTCGGTGCTGCTGCCCAGGAGGCTACTCATGGAGGCGTCCGAGGTGATGGACGCATGGTGCATGCCGCCGGCACCGGTGCCGTGACCACCGCCGGTCCCGGGCGGCGGAGCCGCCTGCGACATCAGCATCAGGCCACCAGCGCCACCGCCAGCCGAGGATGCTCCGTACTCCTGTCCCAGGTGCTGGGACTGCGATTGCTGGAGATGATGATGGTGGTGCTGATGGTGATGATGATAGTGCCCAGCAGCAGAGGGCTCTACCAGGCTGGAGGTTTGAGACAGGAAGCCGGCCGGCCCGCCGAAGGGCCCGCCGGTGTATGTCCCGCTGGATGCATCGACCGCGGGGAATCCACCCTGCAGCGTCAGGGCGGCGGGGTTACCACCGCCCTCATTACCGCCAGTCGACGAAGCCAGCAGCGATCGGAGGCCAGCAGCGTCTTGAAAGGTTGAGGGCACAGCATTCGGCCCGGCATTGCCCATCGGGGCCCCGGGGCCGAAGTAGGAGAACAGCGGGGCCGCGCTGAGAGAAGCTGTGTGGCACCACATGCATGGCCAGCAGGTGGGAACGGGGGGTGGGGGAGGAAGCACAAAGGCCGAGTGTGAGCCGCATGGTGTGTGCCGGCCGGCGGGGAGTGCGACGGGAGGAAAACTCCCAGAGAAGGCACGTACAAATTGAAGGCTGCTGACCGGCAGCCGGAGGGAACATCGAGCCGCCGGTTGGCAGAGGGCCACCATGCGAGGACGCCTGCTGCTTGCTGGCGGCGGTGGCGGCGGCCACGGCGGCTGCCGCGGCCGCGGCTTGCTGCTGCTGCTGCTGCTGTTGCTGCTGCGAGGCGGTGCTGTTGCGTGCTCGCCGAGCCGCCGACGCATTGCCGATCGAGTCGATTTGCGCGTAGTTAATTATCCAATAGGCTCCCTTGCCGGGCTCATTGGCCGGCCGAGACACCCGCATGAAGGCCGGGTTGAGGGAGAGATTGTGACGGACGGAGTTCTTCCAACCGCCACCACCCGAGTGGTCCTGGAAGAAGGGGTAGTTGGTGGTGATCCAGTTGTAGATGTCACTGAGGGTGAATTTGCCGGACGGGCTGGACTCGATGGCGCGCTGGATGAGCACCGCATAGGAGAAGGGCGGCTTGACATGCGTGGGGGGAGTGTCATCCTTGGAGGGCTTGGTCCCGGTGCCGGCTCCACCCGAGGGGGAGGTCGTCGTCGTCGTGGATGATGATGACGAGCCGGCGGGAGCCGAGCCCTCACCGGTGGCGGAGGGTGTCGAGGCGCCGGACTTCCGGGACCCGGCGCCCGACGCCTTCCGGCCGGCTGGCTTCATCCCCCCGGCATCTTCCTCGGCCGTGGCCGTCGCGGCGGCGGGGCCCGAGTCCAAGTGGGTATCAGACGCGGAGCGTGCCTCACGGCGTCCGGCCGCCTGGCAGGGGGGGGGGGGGGGGGGGGGGGGGGGCGGAGGGGGGAGGTGCAACCCGGCAAATGGCCAAAGGGGCAACCGGCAGGGGCCGGTGGGCGGAAAGGTGACGCGGGGAAGGACGCGCGTGTTAGAGTGCCTTCCCGGGCGATGAGCGCTGGATATGCATGAAAAAGGGAGGGGGGGGGACAATCGGCCGAGCGGAGCAAACGGGCGAAGGGAGGCGGCGGCGGAGGGGGAGGCCGACACGAAGACGCACAGGCGGGCGGGCACCCCGAGGGGCGATCTGCTCCTTGGAATCGGCCGGCGATATGCAGACATCGTCCCCGACGATGTCGCTGGCGTCGCGCCCCGATGCGGGGGGCACGGAGCCGGTCACGTCGGTGCCCATGATGAGTCTCCCGGGAAAAGAAGCCTGGGGCCTTTTCCTGTGCAGTGGCCGGGCGGGGGCGCGGGGGAGGGCAGGGGAGGGGGAGGGGGGGGGCGGCACACACAACCACATCGAGCGGGCGTGGGCACATGCGCCAGGCGGAGCCGAGGGAGAGGGGGAGGGGGGGGGGAGTCAGCCAGCCAGGAGTATGGACAACAACACCCGGGGAGGGGGGCGACCGGCAACGGGGAGCGCGACGCACTCAGAGGGGGAATGGGGGCGCGGAAGACACCCTTCCGGCGACGATGATGGCTGATGGGGGGGGGGGGGGGAAACGAAATCAGCAGGAACCGAACACCATCCGAGTGGTCCTCTGGAGGGAGACGACAATCGCGACTGGCACACGGGTCACTGGCCACACAAACGCTCAGACAGGGAGGAGAGAAGACGGGGGGGGGGAAGATGCTGCTAATGTGGACGATCTGGCTTGCCCGAGATCGCCCTGGCGGCGAGGGGGAAAGAAGCGGCGGAGAGACAGAAGGGATGGGCAACGGTGTCAGCGAAAGGGCGAGCGGCGGCGGTGGCGACGGCGGCAGCGGCGACGGCGGCGGCACGAGACAATACCGTATAAAAAGAGACGAAGGGGGGGAAGGGGGGAAGAGAGAGAGAGAGGGGGG